TGTGTGTGTGTGTGTGTGTGGCCAGCTCAGCCCACCAGGGGGCGGGGCTGGCTGGCATGTGGTGCTGGGGGATCGAACCGTGAGCCCTGTGCTTTGCTAAGCTTGTTCCAAGTAGGTGCTTTAGACCACTGAGCCATCTCACCAGCCCCAGATACATGCCTTCTTGCCCAACTCTAGGGGCAACTTTTTGGACAAAAATGTTGATTTCACTATATTCGTTGAGATGCAAGGAAATCATGGTTTAGGTGAACACCTGTTCCAGCTGAATAGGAAGATAGAGGTGAAAGAAAGTGTTCAGGTAGATTGTGTCAACAACCAATAACCTACCCAGGAAGTTGGCCAGCCTACTCTCCACATGTCAGGTCTGTAGGAGGTCAGATCACTGTCTTTAGCAACCAGCAAAAAGAAACCTAATAATTTTAATCAGCCCCATGTCTAGGGCTCACTTAGTAATAAATTTTTCTTAATCCCTGTGCTTTCTTAATTGCTGTTCTTACCAAACAAATATCCCATCTCACACAATGGCTGCTTCTAGCTAGCTTGCTGACAGTTTCTCCGTGCCAATGGCTTCCAAGCAGGGCCTATCCAAAGCTTTCCCTTTCCTCTGTTGTGAAGCCTTCCTACTGCTCCGCCTGCTTGAGGCTCTGCAGTGGTCATGTCCAGCTTATTTGCTATAATTGATACAGGGAACCTCCAAATGACACGGGGAGAAAGACTGAACTCCCAACCTGAAAGGTACCTGGGATGAGTTCATGTTCTCTAAAACCAAAGAATGAATTTTAGGAACAAACGGAGGTTATAAGCAGAATATATTTATTGAGGGAAAGAAAGCTTCTGTCCAAGAGAGGGAGAGAGGGATAGGAGGGGGTCCCAAGCGGGTTGTTCCCCAGGAAGCTGTCTCTTCCAGGGACTTTTATTGAGGAAAACCGTGAGGTGGGACTAAGGTGGTGGAGAAGACATGGGAACTTGCTTATGCGGGCATGAGGTGGAACGAAACTATGGTCAACCAATGAGATTACAAGTACTATTGCTCAGGTAAAATGGATTAAATCCAGTACCAAATGGGGAAGCGAGTCACATAGCAAGTGGGCAAGAATGTGCGACAGGGTCTCTTCCTGTTGGGGGTTGGGCTAGTAACTCATTTGGGCTCTTTCAAGGTGATTGATACCTATTTAGAATGTCAATCCCTGATGGCCATCCCTGGAAAGTATGTAGGTAGCTGTGTTTCCTCTTTTGTCTTGGGGTCTGTCTCTTCCAAGTTGTAAAGTCACTTTGTCTTCCATCTTGTCTCCTTGAGGGCCTGGCCCTGTCTGACTGCCTAGAATATTTCTATCTAACTCAGCCGCCTACAACATAATGAGCTCTGAGCACAGCCCTTGCCTGTTCTTATTTGGTTGGTTTTTATTTCCATAATTCTCAGGACCAGCTACTGTTAGCTCCACTTTCCCCTAGATGCTCCTCTTTCAGTTTGGCCTCAAAGCAGGACCAATTCCATGATTGCATTTATGCTTCACAGATTTCCCCAGGACCAGGTAGAAGTTAGATTCCAGTGAAGCCCTTGTTGTACTTAGCTTCTTTCGCTGCCTTGTCCTGCTTCTCTCCTACTCTCTCCTAAGAGCTGCTTGGACAGTGCCTAACATAAAGGAGGATCTCAGCTGACATTTGTTGAATGAATGAATGAATGAATGAATGAGTGAGCGAGTGAGTTAGTGAGTGAATGGAGACTGACATGGCAGAAGGGATTGTTTTAGAGCTGATCGGTCTGCCAATATTATGGACGCACATAGATCAAAGGACAACAGACAACAGACGAAGTGTTACGGTATGCAGGCACCCGGGAAGGTCAGAGCTCTTGGAGCTAAGGTGAAACTTCTCCAAATTGCCCACTATTTATCTGGGTACATAACATTAGGGGAACATGCAGAGAAGTGCCCAGAATAACTGAGGTAAAAAAGGGTGGGAAAGCGAGCAAGGCCTTGTGCCGATGGAACAGAGCAGTAAATCTTTGCTTAGTGAGAGAACTGCTTCATCTCTAGGGTTGGCAGCTGTCACCTTGAACTCTAAGTGAGATTTATTGCACTCAGCTGCAGTGTTTATCGTGCTTTCAGAGATGACACGGTGTCACAGGCCACTACAGGCCCTCAGTGCTATTTCTGCATGCCAACCACTGACTTCTTAGGCAAATCACTTAGGTCTGGGGCAGGATCCTAAGTTAATATTGAAACCAAACTGATTAATTCTAAAGCCTGCTCGGTGCTTCTTCAGGGTGGTTTCCAGCAGTTCCCCCTTTCTGTTTGTTTGATTGCACAAGGTGAACCAAAGTGAGGTGTGACTGCAGAGCCTGCCTGCCTGCCTGCCTGCCTGCCTGCCTGCCTGCCTGCCTGCCTGTCTGTCTGTCTGTCTGTCTGTCTGTCTGTCTATCTATCTATCTATCTATCTATCTATCTATCTATCTATCTATCTATCTTAGGTTTGAGTTCCTCTACAGCAGACTATGAATAAAACCAGAAGACATGAATAAATTATTTGAAGCACACTTACATATAACCAAAATTGGGCCCTGAGATATTTCCACAAATTAAACTGATTAAGAGTGTAACAGGTCAACTCACATTTTAGACTATAAATGTAAATCTTGCATTTTCTGTTCTATAAAAATGTATACTCACCACTGTTCTAAGTTGTTTAGTAACTAGTGGCTGTTTCTTGCTGTTTGCTAAGATAAAATTCCTGTAACCGTCACCAATTCCTGTAAACAAAGTCAGATTACAGAGATGACTTCAAAAGGAAACTAAATGGGCTTTAACTTCTTGAAACCTCTGGGCTATGCAAGGCTGCCTGCAAGTACTCAGGTGCCAGATAACCAGAAACTAAAAGAAAGCTCCAAGAAATTTAGTTTGAGTAGTGGTCACAATGACCCTAAAAGCAATAGTGTGTGTCAGACAATGAATTTGTTTACCAAACTGAATGTGGTTCCAGGTTTTAAATCCCGCCCCCTCCCCCTGCTTCCTGGGCTAGCTGCCTTTCAGTCCTCTCCTGCCTGAGCTGACCCGGGGCCCTGAGCTCAGTAATAAATGACTCTTTTAAATTCTAGTCTGGCTTCTGATCTGGTTCCTATTCTGAGTGACCCATAACAAAGAGCATTAGAGAATTTGCCTCTCTGGATGAGTTTATTTAAATCATTAATTTGATTTTATGGTACATCATGCCATTTTGAATTATTATCTGTTCTTTTGTTTTTTTTCCAGGGGCCCCAGTCAATTAATTCAAGTGGACCCATACACATCTTTTGTCCTCATTCACCTTTATAAATGGCCCATGGGAGAATCTTTAATATAATTGGTCCAATGAGCACGTGTTTTGCAAGGAGATATATGGGGAGGGCAGAAGAATTAGCCTATGCCTTGGATATATTAATTGAGCTCAATCCCCAAAAGACAAGTTGTTTCTTATCATGTGTGATACAACATTGTATATAGGCTGGAGGATACTAATTGGATTCTAAGGTTCTAAATTCAACACACAGAGATGGATAAAATGAGAGGTATAATTAATAATTGCCTTATTTGGCATGTCAATAGGGATGAC